CAGTGCTCATTGCACCCTACCCAGAAACGATCCCACCTGCCTGTTTACAGGAGACCCTACACCAACAACCAGAGCAGGCAAACCCTGCCCACAGCCTTGGGATTCCCTGCAATGCCTGGTCCCCCCCTGCCCCTGCAGCCCAGCCCCGTAGGTGACGGGGATGGCTGCCAGGGCTGGCAAGTAGAAGGGAAAGTGCAGCTGGGGCGGCCAGGGCTCACTCGGAGGGGTGCTGAGCTCCTGCGGCCAGCTCCTGAAGGGGGGAGAGCACCCTGAGCTCACCCGGTACCACCCCCAAGTCGTCTGCCCAGCCTGGAGACGGGTCCCTCATGTGCCCTGTCAAACATTAACAGCCCCTCGGCAGAGTGGGCAGCACGGCCGATAGCAGCACGCATCCACCATGGTGCTCAGCATCTGCCTCGCCTCATCCCTCCGGCCTGCCCTGGTGGCTCTACGCCGGGCAGCCCCCAGGCAGCACCGGGGGCTCAGCACCCCCCCAGGACCGGGGCACACACTCGACCTTGGGGGCATCTTCCCACCCCTCACCACCCCCTTCTCGCCCACGCAGGAGGTGGACTATGCCCAGCTGGAGGGGAACCTGCGTCACTATGCCAGCATCCCTTTCCGAGGTAAGCGCTGCCCCACTGCCCCTCTCCGTGCAGGCTCCTGCCAGACCCCTGCCAGACCCCTGCCCATCACAGGGACTGTGCAGCAGCGGGCAGGCAGCCTGCAGCTTCCCAAGGGTGCTCAGCCTCCAGCCGGAGGACTTTGCTCTGGGGTTGGCAGCCCCTCGGGTGGCCCACCTGGGGCCATTCACACACCAAGTGCCCAGGCACACGTGTGTCCTTGCACACCCCCATCACACTCCACTGCATGCTTACATGCACACCCCACACACATGCAGGCTTGCACATATCCTGCACACATAGCTGCTGACTTGCACCTACCCTCTGCACACCTGTGCACACTCACACAGATTCAGCCCCATGGGATGCGTATCTGTTGCTTGCCCAGGATGGATGGACGGGAGGAGAAGGGCTGCAGGAAGAAGCTGGGGGTGGCAGGGACGTGCCCTGGGTCTCACCTCTTCTGACCAGGCTGTGAGTCTGGGTCTCGTTAGGCTACAGGGAGAGGAGAGGGCATGCTGTAGGCTACAGAGCCCATCCTGGATGCCCAGGAGCGAGGAAGTAAGAAAGGATGATGCCCAAGATGCCACAGCACAGCCCAGCAGCACCGGGCTGGAGCTGGCCTGCCTGCCCATGGTGCTGGCAGGGTCCCAAGGAAGGGATCTGTGTGCCCCCGCCAGGGACAGGGTGGCACAGCCCGGCTGCAGGCACCAATAAATCCCTCAGTGGCTGCAGTTTCTGGGAGCTGGACGCAGGGAGGTGGAGTGCTCAGCCCGCAGGATGCGTGCATGGCTGCACCAGGGTGCCTGGGTAGGGGACCTCACTGCTGGTGCTCAGTGCGGTGTGGATGGGCACTGCGATCTGGGGGGGAACATACCCCACATGTGCCCTTTGTGAGGGAGTCCAGGGCATTGTGGGGCACCTGCGGGAGACTCCTGGCCCAAGGGAGCAGCTGGATGGGGCCATCGGGCTGCTCCAGGTGCCTGGTACCCACTCAAGAGTGGGGTGCAGAGACAGCAGGGACAGCTGCCTCATGTGCTCCTGTGCCTGGGCACTGCCCTCCCCATGCTTGCATTTCAGGGCTGGTGGTGCTGGGCTCCAACGGAGAGTACCCCTACCTGGCACCCCGCGAGCGGCTGGAGGTGGTGGGCTGCGCGCGCCGGGCTCTACCCAGGGACCGCCTGCTGCTGGCCGGCTCAGGCTGCGAATGTGAGTGTCTGTGCGGGCAGCGTGGGGGCCACGCATCCCTCCCCGGGCATCCCTCACCCCTCTGCCTCCTCCTCAGCCACCCAGGCCACTATCGAGCTGACAGTCAGTATGGCAGAGGCGGGGGCTGACATGGCAATGGGCGTGAG